GGCATGAGACATGGGTAAGATAAAGATACACTGAATACATGTATGAAAATTCCATAAAATGAATACATTTTTAAGCAAAAAGAAAGCTTGTTAGTATGTGAAAAGAAAGTGTATTGTGAGCAATGTGTTGTTGTTCCTGTGTCTAGGGACAGCAAAGATAGCTCAAGAAATAAACTTTATTTCCTATATTTCCAAAATTTGGCTTTTCTATAAAATATAGAAGTGAAACAATAAAAATTGTATTAAGAATGAATTTATTTATTTATTTATTTTGGGGGGTGTTCGAGACAGGGTTTCTCTGTGTAGCTTTGCACCTTTCCTGGATCTCACTCTGTAGCCCAGACTGGCCTTGAACTCAACAGAGATCCACCTGGCTTTGCCTCCTGAGTGCTGGGATTAAAGGCGTGTGCCACCACTGCCCAACATTCTACAATATTTAATATAAGCAACTTTTTTAAATTAAAAACTACTTTGTCATACTAACAGAAGACAAAAAAAATGATTTTAAAATGTACTAAAAGAGAGTAAAATAAAATTAACAACTACAAAAAAATGGCAGAAATGTAAATATGAGCTTTGGAAGTGGTTCAGTTAGTAAAATCCCAGCTGCCCATCCACACAGGAACACGCACCCACACAAATACACAAACATATATAAGTATATGTTATATAGTTTATTACATATATATGCATGCAAAATGCTCTAATCTTCCCAGATAAAAATATAATACTAGTTTTAAGAAAATTATCTAAATTATACTTATAAGAGCTATGCTTATGATATTAGGATGCAGAGAGATTTAGAAATGAAAAATGTTTGAGGCAAATGCTAATAACAAAACTATCTATGTTGATATTAAACCCAATATTGTTGAAGACAAAAGCTTTATTAAAGGTAAGTAAGACTACAAAATATAAAATGAAAATTTTTAAAGTTACACACAAGATAATGTGCATGTTCTTGTTAACAAAGCCAAAAGTGAATACAGCAAAAACTGACAGCATTTTAAGAGTAAAATGACAATTCTGCGGTCCTAATGAGGAAATTTAAACTCTCACCTAAAGAACTGCTCAAGAATACAGATTAATAGAAAAGTAAAAGGTTTGCACATGTGACCTTGAAGATAGGTGTGGCACAGTTAATCCTACAGTTAATAGATGTGATTTTCAAATAAATCTATGGTATTTATGAGAACATGGTATATTCCAGGGACCCAAAGAGGATCTCAACATATTTTTAAAGGGTCATTTTCATACTAACCTCTGACCATAATACAGCAAAATTAGGAATCAGAGGATGACCCCAAACATTCTTTGGCATGGGAATTTTCAAAACACTCTTTTAGACTCACAACTCCCCATGGGAGGCCTTTCCTTGTTGGAGTGAGGAGGGAGTAGGGGATAGGTTGGAGGGGAAGGGGGGCGGTGAGAGGAGGGAAGAGAGGGGGCTGTGGTTGGTATGTAAAAGAATACAAAATTTCCTAATAAAAAAGAAAGAAAGCCGGGCGGTGGTGGCACACGCCTTTAATCCCAGCACTCGGGAGGCAGAGCCAGGCGGATCTCTGTGAGTTCGAGGCCAGCCTGGGCTACCAAGTGAGTCCCAGGAAAGGCACAAAGCTACACAGAGAAACCCTGTCTCGAAAAAAAAAAAAAAAAAAAAAAAAAGAAAGAAAGAAAGAAAATTATAATAGAATTTGAAAAATACTTAGACTAGAACAAAATTAAAGTATAATTTCAAATTTTATAAGCTGAAGAAGCTGTTGTGGTACTTAGAGGAAACTCTATAGCTAAATGTTTGAAAAAAAAAAACCTAAAGAAAAAGTAAATAAAATATAAAGACTGTTGAATTAAAAACTCAAAGTAGGTTATTCTTTAAATCATTAAAGCAATAGAGAAACATGAAGCAAAACTCTAGGAAGAAATGCACAAATAATTAGTAATGATGAAGGAGAAGGAAGCTACCTATGATTAATGAGTTTAAAATGTAAGAGAATATCATTTACCTAGCTCAGTTATCCCCGGAGCCTGTTGTCTGAATGTGAATTATGTGTATCAAGCACCATTGCTAGGTCAGTAGTGACATTTTGTGAGTAAATTGCATCAGGTTAGAAGACTAGAAATAAGACTATAACCTGATAGAAATTCTAGCTTTAAACTTCTGAAGAGCAGTGACCAGAAACTATGACTGCAGAGTTCTTCCAAAGTATATCAGTGAATTCTGCACCAGCCCACTGGTGATTTTGTTCCCTCTCATCTGAGGTTAGCTCCTCAGCAGTTATGATCAGATAACCACCATTGGATGACTACTCCTACTCAAGAGAAATGCCTGCTATTGCTATGTTGACATGCTCTGTAGCTATGTGTCCTAACCTTTATGCTACATATGCCTGTAATAGTTACATGAATCTAATTGTTGAGCTAAAAAGCATCCTCAGTGGACATAATTACTTTATGCCAATAAATTGAAAACCTCAGCTGGGACAATTGCCTAGAAAAATAAAAGTTTTTCATATGTATTCAAGAATAATTAGAAAACCAAGCTAACCAGGACTACATAACAAGAGCTTGTCTCAAAACAAACAAACAAACACCAAAAACACAAATAGAACTACAATTCTATTTTGTGCCTATAAATTTTAAAGAAATTTCTTTTCATTGAAAGACAGTGTTGTTTTTGTTACTTGTCTTATTGCTATAACAAAAACAAAACAAAGCAAATAAAACAAAAAACAAAAACAAAATAACTGATAAAAGCAAAGGGTTTATTTCGGCTCACACTTGCAAAGGGTGCTGTCAATCATGGCAGGGCATCTGTGGCAGCAGGAGCTAGAGGTGGCCACTGCCATTGTGTCTGCAGCCAGGAGGAAGGAGCAGAGGTGCTCGGGCTCACCTTCTCATTCAGTCCAGGACACCAGCCCAGGGAATGGTGCCATCAACATCAGGGTGGGTCTTTCCACTCTAATTAGCCTAACCTAGAAAATCTTTCACACACATGCCCAGAGCCTTGTGTCTTTGGCGATTCTAGATCCTGTCAAGTTGACAATATTAGCCATCCCAAGTATAAACAGTAAAAATATAGTAAGAGACTGAGAAATAATTTTGGTGCCACATAATGAAGGCAAATTGTTCATACCCTACAGTAAATCCATTTTCTGCCATTTCACTAAGGAAATGCTCATGTATGTGTGCAGAGATGTGGGAGAGTTAGGTATGTTGTTGTAGGAATTAGTAATTGCAAACAAATATCCAGGAACAGAGAATTGACAAATATCCTCGGAATGATTAGTGCCAGATGGTTGACATAGTTGGTTAACAAGTCAATGTGATGGCATCTGGTCTTTATGCTGGAATGCCTGAATTTTCATGGTACCTTGTTGATAGAGATTGCAAACCAGATTTAAAGTTAATGGTTGGAATTTATATTATGAAAAATTACAAATATGTGAGTACTGAAGGAATCAAAGCATTTACTAAGGTACCTTGGGCTCCAAATATAAGATAGCAAGTAATCTGTGAATTAGTGGTATCATAGAAACCAGCAATTAGACAGGAAGTACAAAGACACCGGTGGTCACTGGCTGAGACCAGATAGAGAATAAGTGTTACATGAGTGAGTGTGGTGTCATGGTGTTTGAAAATGCCCTGAAAGCTAAAAGTTTTCTAACGCATCATGAAAGTGCATGTTAACCATATTACTGAGAAGGGAGAGAATGGTCATGACATCAGTTATAGAACTGAGTCTGCAGTGGTTAGTGAGGGTAGATTGTCACAACAGGCAGCATGCTGGCAGATTTGTTTTTAATATTGCAGTCAATTAAAGAAAAACAGTGGAGGAGAGGCAGATGCTAAAAAGATGATACACCTGTAAGAGATGAGATGAAACACTTCATTCAGAGAGCTACAACCAATTTAAAATTGACTGAGTTTTGTTTCGGGGTGATTGCTCTATTGAAATTGCTACAGATTCCTTCTACCTTGATTTTTGTTACTCTTTCATTTCTAGGTTTTAGTGCCCCTAGGTGATCACTTCATTTTTTTTTTTTGAGCTAGATGTAGATTTACAGACAATAGTAAGGAACAACATGAAGAGATTTCTCTGTTCATTTTTATCCAATTTCCCCCAATTCTAACATCCTGGAAAACTACTACAAATCACATCACAACTGGGTATTGACATTGAAATAGTCAAGTTGCATACTGAACAAGTGCATCACCAAGGATTCTTGGGTGTGTGTGTGTGTGCATGTAAATGTGGGAACGTGCCCTGACACAAGTAGGGTTAGAGGACCACCTTAGTTAGCTTCAGTGTTTGCCTTCCATTTTGTTTGAGACAGGGTGTCTTTGTTGTTCTGCTAGAAACACTAATGTAGCTAGCTGAAGACCTACCAGGATTCCCTTGCCTCTGCCCCATCTCTGTGGACAAACACTGGAACCGAATGTGCTCACATTATGCATCTGGCCTTTGTGTGTCCTGGGGAGCCATCCAGTTTTTGTGTACATCAACAGTTATTTCTGTTGGGTTGTTGGATAGCATTCCATGCTATGACTGCAAAAGATCAAGCATTTGCCCTTGAAGAATATCTTGGTGTTACATTTAGCTGTTTGTGAATAAATATATTTCCTGTGGATCTCAAAGCAGATTACCACAAATCTGACTTTACAAGAGAATTGTATTCTCACTGTCCTCAAAGGCCCACAGTGTGAATGTGAGAGGCTCACGCTGGAAAGTGGGGCTGAAATGGACAGCCATTCTTTGCTTCAACCATCTTATAGCCACATCACTCTAGTCTTGGCCACTGTCCCTTACAGCTAATGTCTCCGTATGTCTCTTGTAAGGACACTTGTGTCAGTCCAGTTCTTGTGTATCCCAAGTAGGAGTTGATGTCGATTTTTTCATTTTAGACATTGTGAGAGGTGTTTAGTGATGTCTTTCTATGGTTTTAACTTGCATTTCCATGGGAGCTCTGAATGAGGATGCCAGCCATCTTTTGTTGTTGTTGTTTGTTTGTAAGGTGTGCACTTTTATTAGGCTGGTCTCTCAAGTCAGTGTACAGGCAAACCCTGGCAGCCTCAACACCTCAACCCACTCCCAGGGAGACCGAAGCCTTCATACATCAAGTTGGGGAGACAAAAAAAAAAAAAGAGGGCCATGATGGCTGACCAGTCAAAAATAAAAACAAACAAAAAAAGAAGTCTTAAGACAGAAGATTTTTTTTTAATTGCAGTACGGAGTTTACACAGAAGCAGTGCCGGGGAGGGACAGTGTTACTTCTGTGGGGAGTACGTCCTGCCAGCCAGCCTCTGTGTGTCTGCTCACTGCGTGTCTTCTGGGATGAGATACCTGTGTCTGCTGGTTCTGTTCAGCTGAACGGTACGTTGTTCCACTGTTGGGCTATCATTTGTGAAGTTTAAACAGCAGTTCTTTGTCAGAAATTCTGTCTTCCCAGCTTCCCCTTTCTCATGCTCTTGGCCTAGTTATTTTCAAAGCAAAAGGTTTTAATTACGAAACGACCTAGGACAACATTTGTTTCTTTTCATAGATCATATTTTTAGTATCAAGCCTAGGACTCTTTGCTTAGCCCTACATCTGGAAGATTTTCCTCAAAACTTTTTTCTAAATTAAAAAATAGTTTTACATTTAGCACTGTTTATAACTTGTTATTAATTAATTTTTTATATAAGGTATGGCACTTAGGTTCTTCATTTTTGCGTTTGGATGTCTAATTTGTCCAGCATCATTTACTGAAAAGCCATTTTTTCCTCAACTGCCATGTTCAGATCTTAGAAGGAAAACATTATTATTATATTATAATAATTACATATATAAATATAAATTATATATATAATATATTATATTAGCCTGCAATAGTTAAGCGTAGTATTAGCAGAGTTTTAGTAGGTACTCTATCAAATTGAGAAAGCTTTCCTTTGTTCCTGTGAGGACTTTATCATGAGTGCTTATTGAACTTTTCTGATGCTTTCTTTGCATCAGTTGATAAGATCATAAGATCAACTTGTTAATAATATGGAAAATACAGATCAATTTTCTGTTTAATAAGCTTTACATCCCTGCAGTAAGTCTAACTTTGTTCTCTGTGTATGTGTTCTTTCTCTATGCTGTTGACTTGTATTTACTAATTGTTTGTTATTTATTTGGCCTCTTCTTTTAAAAAGAATACTGATCTGTAATTTTCTTCCCTCATTTATTTTGTTTTCTTCCTTTCTTTCCTTCTATTTTTTTTTATTGAGTTTAATGTCAACATGCCTCCAGATTCATAGAGTTAACCGAGAAACTTTTCCTCTTCTATATTCTGAAATAATGGAGACTTGGTATAACTCTCATTTAAATTTTGGATAAAATTCTTTAATAAAACAGTCTGGCCTGGTGATTACTTCTGTGGTAATTTTCAATTACAGATGCATTTATTTTAATACTTCCAGAGCTATTCAAATGACCTGTTTCATACTGGATGAGTTATGATACTTCAGGTTTTTGTCAGTAAGAATTGGTCCATTTTATCTAAGTCATCAGACTTGCATTTGTAGAGTTATTTGTAGCTCTCTCCCATTGTCCTTTTGATTGATTTGTGGATAAAGCAATATTTCTGTTTTATTATCAATACTACTAATTGCTAGAGATGTGTCAATTTTATTATGTTTAAAAAAAGAAATAAGTTCTTTGCTAGAGTGTTGGTGTGGACCTGCAGTCCCACCTGCTGAGGAGGTTGAGGTAGAAGGGTCACAAGTTCAAGGTCAGCTTAGGCAATGTAAGGAGGCACTATGTCCACATAGAAAACAAACCAGCTCTTCATTAATTGATTCTTATCAACTGTTTTACTGTTTTCAACTTCAACCAATTCTGCTCACCTCTATTATTTCTTTTGTTCTGCTTGCTTAAGATTTATTTTGCTCTCTCTTTCAAAGTTCCTGAAGAAGAACTTAGATAACTGACTCAAGACTTCTTTTCTAATGCACATAATTAGCACTCTAAATCGATTGTCTGTCAGTTATTGCCATGGAAGAAAATGAAGGTTTGAAAAATTCCGTTTATGACATAAAGACCATAGATGCAGAGGAATAAATCAATAGGAGGAAATACATAATCTTTACAGAGTAAATGATGAACCTTAATGAAAGTTGGAAAAAACTCTGAATAAGTGGACAAAAAACCTGGGTTAACAAGAAGACCCAACATCATGAAGGCAGCACTTTCCCCCAAATCACCCTTAACCACTGCCATGAGAGTCCAGTACTGTGCAGCTTTAATGCTTGGACTGCTCCGTGGATAAGGGCACTTGCCACCAAGCCTGACCACCCGAGTTTGATCCTCAGTGCTCACAGTGTAGAAGGGAACCGACTCGTGCAAGTTTTTCTCTGACATCTACATGCACACCATAGCATATGTCCATGCATACATACATACACACACACACACACACACACACACACACACACACACTTAAATAAGTATTTATTGCAGCTGCTATTTCACTCTCATCAGCTTAATGCAAAATTAAATGGAAAATATTCATTAACACAGACATAAGAACATAACCTAATCTCAAAATCTACAGGTGATACCATAAATAGTTACTATTACTATGATAGTTGTAGTAATTACTTTTCTAGCTATTCAGTTTGATAATACTTAGGAGAGTTGAAAATATTCAGGTATGTTTTATAAACTCTAATATATGTACACAAAAAGTAAAAAGTTAATATTTGTTGTTACATTATAAATAATTATGGAAAGCTGAAGAAGTCTAACTGTCCAGTGATAAGAAAATGGGTGAATAAATTTGAGGATATTCACTCAATAAAACACATAGAACAGTTAAAATAATGAGCTATACCTGTACATATCATTAGGAATAAAACTCTAAGATATACTGTTGAACATGAAAAATTATTCCAGAACATTACAGTGTGATGAAATGAAAACTTCAAAGCTTTCAGAGCACTCATGGGAATGGTAGACATCAAGTCCAGGGTGCATTTTCCATTTCAGGAACAAGTGAGCATTGTGGTGGTATTGTGTTCCCCAAAATAATGTGTACCCTAATAAACTTATCTGGGGTCAGAGAACAGAAAAGCCACTAGATACTTAGGATAGGCAGTGGTAGCACACGCCTTTAATCCTAGCATTCCAGAGGCAGAAATCCATCTGCTCAAGGATACAGCCAAGCATGGTGACTCACGCCTTTAATCCCAGAAAGTGAGCCTTTAATCCCAGGGAGTGATGGTAGAAAGCAGAAAGATTAAGGCGTGAGGACCAGACTGGTTAAGCATTTGGCTGGTTAAGCTTTTAGGTTTTGAGCAGCACAGTTCAGCTGAGAGCCATTCGGATATGAGGACACAGAGGCTTCCAGTCTGAGGAAACAAGATCAGCTGAGAAGTTGGCCAGGTGAGGTTAGCTGTGGCTTGTTCTCTCTCTCTCTGAACTTCCAGTGTTCACCCCAATACCTGGCTCAACTTTGATTTAATTAATAAGACCTTTTAAGATTCCTGCTACAGAGCATGAGATCAGGAAGGATTTCCCACAAAGATTACATTGTAACTGTAAGGTCTTACTTCTTAGAAGTCAATCTGGTAGATCTTTAAAATTACCATGGCTTTCTGTGCCAACAGAATCAACCAATAGGGAAGATCTTCAGTCAGCAATTATCATACTTAATTAAACCCTTAGAGGTCATTTTACCACCTGAAGATAAATTTATCAGATGAGATAAGTACTGTAGAGACAGATAAGGTAAACGGCTCCAAGAAAGCCTAGGTTTGAACAGATTTGCTCTTTTATAGTGGATGGACAGAGTAAGTTTGCTAATGGTAAGGCTTTTCTATTCGGGAAGAAAGCAGCTATTAATGGACCCCCAAAGAGAGGCATGTTTAACACATTCTAGGGGCAAGAAAACCAATCACCGAGTCGTGCAGAGGAGGGGAGAAATAGCAGAGAAAGAGAACAAAGGGGAGGAGTGAAGAGGTTTTAAACCAGCGAGGGCCACGTATGGACTCTGACTTTGAATGAGACAGGAAGCCTCTGAAAGAGTTTGATCAGAAGAGAACCTTAATTTTACTTTTGTTTTAAAAGAATCACTTTGACTACACAGAAGAGAACATGCCAATTAGCCATTCCTTCTTTAGAATCTAGAGACCATCAAGAAAAAAGCAGCTATGGACTAATTCATTATATGGTGTTTTTATGATGTTCATGTGTTTGCTTCAGTACAATCTTATCTCCCATTTAACTAATGAAGAAACGTGTAGTAAACTGCCCAAGGCCAATCAGGCATTTATCTGAGAACTAGGTTCAAGTCCAGGCAGTTTGACTTTTTTACTTCTACTCTTCCCCCCCTCCCCCTTACACCACAGGTGGTTCTGGGAAGGGTGTAAGGAGGCTGATAGGAGTATGTGCACCTTTAAAGTATGCAAGTATATTAAGTCCAGAAAGCCAGTGATGAAGTGCAAAAACAGAATTGCAATAGAAATAAGTTACATGAATTGCTCTAGAGGTAAATGATAGAACTGTTGGTGGGTTGTTGACTTGGGGAGAAAACGACTTACAAAAGATGTCTGAGATTGCCTCAGAAATATAGAAGAATTAATAGCCACGTTTGAGCATTTAGGCATGGTTAGAAATGATTGTTCCCAGGTAAAATCAAATTTGAGTAAAATCAGGCATCAAAATGAACTTCAGATTGTTTTGTTGTTCAGAGAAAACTGACCTGCGGATGTACCAGTGTCGGCAAAGTGGCTACCTTAGTAATTCTTTGCCAGTTTGCTGACTTGAACTGGGTTTTGCAGATCAGTTCCATTTGGAAGGAAGATATTTCTGCTTGTGGTTTAAAATACTTCTTTTCCTCCTCAGTATTTACAGTGAGTCATCCCATTTGGAATTATTGTGTCACATTTTCCAACTTTCATTCCCCCCACGAAGCAGTCATCAGGAGAAACACAAGTGATGGACATTAGTGGCAGAGTGTGTGGTTACAAAAATCAATAACCACAGGATGCTTCAGATTCTTAAACAGTTTTTAAAAAGTGTGAGGACACTGGGTGGAATCCACATAAGAGTGATGGTTAAGACTGGCACTCACACTACAAGGCCTCAGCTTGTAATTAAAGCTCCTTGTCCTGTTTTAGTGTCTTTTTTCACACATGCATCTTGAGAAAATCCATAACCTTAACCATATCTGAATGTTTCACAGAATTGATGTTTTGCAAACAACCTTGCAGTTTTGTAAAGAAATAAATAGTTTCTTACGTAAATTATAATTGCAACAATGTTAAAAGGTCTTGTGTACGGATTAAAGAAAGCCTCCAGGCTTCGATTTTAAGACTTTAAACAGTTCATTCTGATCTTTCCAGTCTCTTGTGATGACAAAGTATCACAACCTCAAAAAGAAGTGTTTAGGATTTGTATTTTAAATTTTTATTAAAGTTATTTCTTGTCCCTGGCTTATTTTTTTAGTTC